GCGGAGTTTGTGTCTTAAAAGGACGAAACAGCTGTATGCTGCACTTTAATTCAGTGTTTGGCCCTACTGTATCTAACTCTAAAGTATTAAAAGGTGCTATTCAATCCTGTGCCTTTTGTACAATCTTCGAAATTGCACGTGGTGAACTTAAGTCCCACATGTTTGCCTTAACCTAAATACGACGTTTTTAATCAAAACGAATAGTGGCACGATTCAAAATATCCACAGGTATATGATGTCGTTCTAAAATTATCAGATATATAGAATGCTTGTGTATATTCTGAACCATGTTATTAGAATAAATCAAAACATGTCGGGTTAAATTAAGTCATTTGATTTTTGTAAAAAAAAAAAGACTCTTGTGACAATGAATGTTGGTCAAGGTCACTTCTTTCAGCAAACCATGTCGGGCTCATCAATGGAAGCTTCCGGCCAAATACCTTGCCCAAGGCCGTTTTTTTCAATAAGAAGCTATTCCACGTTTCCACAAATTTTATCGCTGAAAATTTGAATACGGGTCATGGCCATTTCATATCACAATCGTCCGGCAAAAATATTCTAATTTTCAACCTTTTATTTATTGAAAAGAAGAAGTTTGCAGTTGCATAAGACGGGACGGACAGACAACGGTATAACCTCTAGTAAAGGTAAGGTTAACTAATAAGATAAGTGGTACAAGAAGAATGCAATTAATAAATTCTATCTATTGAACTTTGCTTCTGTGGTGTTTTTTATACTCAGGAGGTTCACAAAGTAAAACATATCATAGTGAATGTTAGGATGTAATTTTACATCGATCTATAAAGGACTTAGCAGGAAGAAAAGAATACCTTACAATACCACTATAAAATTTGGTACAATGTCAATTTAAACCAATCTGCATCATACAGCTGTTTCTTACTTCCAGGACTCATCAATGAGTTTAGACCTTAAGTGTATCATCCTTGGAGGTGAAATAAGAATATGAAAATTGGTTGGGGAAAAAAATGAAAAAAAAAAAAAAAATCCATGGCCATTTTGTCTTTCTGATCAGTCCCAAACTCAGATGAACACAACAAAGAAACAAAACAAAGTTTAAGAAAGATCTATCCAATATTTCTCATGAGATAGCAACATAAAAAAAATTGTACAACTAATTAGAAAGTCTCTGCCGTGATCAATTGACAGACTTTGACGCCATCTTGTTATATATATTATCTATCTAATCTTACTACCCTCCAACACTATAATATAAATGATAGTAATGCTTGCCTTACATTTCTGTTAGATAATTATTCATCTGAATCTATATTCTAAATTCTTATTCCTGGAATGCTATCATTATTATTCAATATCTTTAATTTTGATTGATGTGTCTGTGTACTTGTTTAAGTTGTACGAGAGGGCTTTCATAGGCTCTGCCTGTTGCCCAATTCCATTTGTCATCAACAACAAAACAAGAACATATTCTGAAATGAAAAAGGATATTTTAAGCATAGAATAAACAAGAAAATGAGTTAAACTGATGAATGCTCCTCGAAAATAACTTTATCAGACACAAAATTTTAACAATAATTCTGTATTTGGGGGTTTCAAGCCCTGAATTTGGTATACTGCACACTTCTAATATGACCAATGTAAATTCCAAAGTTTCATTACCCTAGTTTAAATGCAAGAAATTTAATGACATTCTCTAGACAGAAAGGGCAATAACTCTGTAATTAAAAGAGTTGCAGGTTCTGACTTAGTAACATGTACACTGTACATTGTCTTACCCTGACAAAAGTTTCACTATTCTAGTTTAAATGCTAGTAAATTTATACCCTGGACAAAAAAATTGAAAAAAAGGACAATCACTGTACATGAGGGGTGGGGAATTTTGTACACTGCACATTGTCTTAGTATTATCAAATTATACAACATGTTTCATTATCTTTGCTTCACTTCCTGCAAAGTTATGCCCTGGCAATGAAATGACAGATGGAATGAGGGCATGCAGACAGTCAAAGCCACAACTTTTCAGGGAACATGATAAAATACACAACATAGAAAAAGAGAACTGTGTTTTATTTATTTTTCAAATGATTATCTATAGACAGTTACACACGAAACAATGAATATACACTGTATATACTGAATGCAAGTGAACACATTGGAGGCATGTTGACGCTGATACTTCTCCACACAGGGAAACAGTATCAATTCTAAGTCTATTAGACACTCACAAATATACAGTTACAGTAAGTATTTCAGGAATAGTCAGTTTCTGATTTCAACATACTAGGTCTCTTTACTGATGCTACGCCCAGGGAAATTGGCCTAGTCAAGTGAAACACACAAATCTGGTATACCCCACAAGCCAATACAGTTTTATTTTACATGTACCGATACAAACCAACATAAAATCTAAAAAAAAAAATTGAAAATAATAGGGTGCACCATGACACTAAAAGAGAAAGTGTGGACTTTGTCTGTATGTTTCTTAACTGATTTAGCAGAAACACTTAACTGCGGCCATGTTTTAGTTCCCAGGGTAGAAACAGGACTAAAACACAGCCAAGATGAGGAAATACTGAGGATGTAATTGAGTTAACTAGTTATTTTTGTAAATAAAGTAGAGATATACAACTTGAAAGTCATGCTCAATCCCTATATAACATCCACTCAGAAAAGGTTGGTGCCATTCATCAAATTGTATATGTTGCAGGATGTGTTCAAGCAGATTCTCCTTTGTTTTTTTCATCCTTTTTAATTTCTTACCTCCACAATGTTTCTGCATTTTTTGTTTAATCAAGATATTTTGCAAGTTTCATATTTTTTATGTCACTTCTTCGTGTGTAATTCTAGATTTTGAAATGATAAAAATCCCAATCTACTGGAAGTAAATCTAATGGTTCGTTGGGGATAAGGTATAGGTATACAGTACTATACTGATGTACTTTTCTGGTGTATGTTTTAACACAGAGATATGTAATGAGAATCAATGAGAACATACCTGATCACTTATATCACAACACAACATACAATATTGCTACAGAAATGTATTGCAAGCATTTGACTCCTTTGTTTCCCTATTGGAATCTAGTAAAAAGTAAATTAATATGACTTTTTAATTCAGTCTACTGAGAATATGGAAACATTTAACATTACAACACATTTAAAAAATAATAACATAATCAACATTTGGCACAAACATTACAATAACTGATGTACCTGTTACAAAAAACACTCTTGGGTTAAATTCATCTTTTTTTTTTAATTCTTGCAAATATAACAACTTACAACAATTGTTCAATTTTGACAACATTTACAAGGTATATCTGTCATGTTTTTTTTTATGTTTATGCAGTTTGCTTAAGAATAATCTCAGAACACCCAGACACTTGGTATAATTCTACAGCATTTTGTACACATACATTTTTCAGTGACAAACTTATTGGTAAACACTTTTCGGTATAATAACAATGGTGTAATGAAATTTTATTTCATTAGATTTTATTATCATCAAATGATAATCAGAGAAGAAATTCATGAAAGTATTTTTTTTTTTGGAAATGGAACACTTAAAAATAAACATAATACAATACATTAGGGACAGTGTCCAGTGAAGTTCTGAGAATATATATATATATATATATATATATATATATAATTTTCATGAGTTATCTTATTGAGGTTGACGGCTACACAACAGAAAATTAAAGAAGATGGTAACTAAAATTAAACAGAATTATGGGAATGGAATGTCGTGTGTGGTTGTTGTGTTAGCCATGATAGGTAAAGGATAATTGTGTTCAGCAATGAGACTTGTTTAAGGGATAGACAGAATTAACAAGCTACTATGAACTGGGAGCTGTGGACTGGGAGCTGTGTGTTTTGTACACATGGACATACTAAATGTATATAAGATATTGTTATTTTTCAACTGTAAATAAAAGACAGAAAATTACATGATCATGTTATCATCAACGCAGTAAACTGATTCCTCCATTACATTTACAAGAAGCATGAATATAGGATGGATTTGAACAGATTTCCATCATGGTAAACAGGTTTTGACAAACAAGTGGCTCCATCACATACACAACACAGAATAAATAGATACAATATCTTAATAGTGTACCCAATTTTTGTGCATTATCAAACAAACCAGCACAAGAATTAGTAGATGATTTTATATTTATTAATATAAATTTGCCATGGAAAGTAACACATGAAAACAGCAATAAGTGTAATATCATTAAACAGAGTGATCTCCCCATAGAGAGGCTCAGCTTACCACTGAATAAAGCTATCTCGTAACAGTATAACAGAATTGTTATCACTGGATTTCAAATCTCAAAAAAACAAGAGGCCCATGGGCCTTAACGGTCATCTGACAAAAAGCAAGCCAAACCTAGAAAGTGGGTTGAGGTCATTCATTTGAACAAACTTGGTAGCCTCTCCTCCAAGCATCTTACAGGCCCAATATCAGCACTCATGGACTTTTGCTTGTTGAGAAGAAGTCGTTTGTATATTTTAACATATTTGACCCCTGTGACCTTGAAAGTGGGTCAAGGTCATTCATTTGAATAAACTTGGTAGCCTTTCCTCCCAGCATGCTACAGACCCAATATCGGCACTCATAGACTTTTGCTTATTGAGATGAAGTCCTTTGTATATTTTAACATATTTGACCCCTGTGACCTTGAAAGTGGGCCAAGCTCATTCATTTGAACAAACTTTGTAGGGCTCCATGCCAGCATGCTATGGGCCAAGTATTAGCCCCCTAGGCCTTCTAGTATTTGAGAAGAAGTTATTTAAAGATTTTGACATATTTGACCCCTGTGACCTTGAAAGTTGTTCAAGGTCATTCATTTAAACAAACTTGATAGCCCTTCATCCCAGCATGCCACAGGCACAATATCAGCAATCTGAGCCTGTTGGTTATTGAGAAGAAGTTGTTTAAAGATTTTAACATATTTGACCCCTGTGACCTTTAAAGTGGGTCAAGGTCATTCATTTGAACAAACTTGGTAGAGCTCCATGCCAGTATCCTCTGTGCCAAGTATTAGCCCCCTAGACCTTCTAGTATTTGAGAAGAAGTCGTTTGAATGAAAAGTTTACGGACGGCGCACGGCACACGGCACACGGCGGACGACGACGGACGAAGCATGATGACTATAGGTCATCGGACCCTTCGGGTCAGATGACCTAAAAAAAAAAATAAAAAATAAATTGAAACAGACATTGAGAATCTGCATAAGATGCAACAATACTGTAAATTTTTTTTTCTATCTTCATTCAAATTTCCTTGTCACAAAAAAAAAAATTTTTTTTTCATAAAGTGATGACATGGAGTGAGGTACTCTCTATTAACATTATTTTCTAGTTTTCATCATTATTAATTTGTCCATGATAGCAACAAGTATAATCCCTTGAAAATGAAAATTGTTTTATTGATGAGGTACAAGTGCTGTATCTAATAATTTAAAGAGATAAATAAATTCATTATGATTTGCTTACAAAATAAAGAGTTTTCAAAATTGATGATTCTGCAAAAATGAAGGAGGGGACTTATTTGTGGGCAGCAGTTCATATGCAGATAAATAAAGAATGTTTATAATTGACAGCATCAGAGTATGTAAGTCTTTGTTTGGATACATTACCCACTACCTACATCATCTAACTGTGATGTACTTATCTTATCTACAAATATGTGCTGTGTCAATAATTAGTCAGTAATTATTGCGACACCAATATCCCTACAAGTAGGCCTATGTATGACCTCATTGCAGGAAGTTGTTTTATTACAAAATATCATATGTTAGAATTTCCCATCTATTCAAAATGATATTTAATTTACTGATATCAATCATTACTGGATTTTTTTAGTACATTTTGTCATGTTTTCTTTTTTCCTCAAGTTGATGGTAATTGTTCTCGAGCAAATTTTCACCTTTAATTGTGAAATTCAATAGATGATGATCACCAGACAGAGATTTCTCTTCTTCTCATCCTGGAAATTTTCATTCTCCAATAATAGATGTACAGAGCCTTCAATTTAACTCTATTCCTACTCCGATTAGACTGATCCATTCAATCTAAGTTAAGACAAGGATATCAAAGTTTGACAGTCTTGAATGGTAGTGCAGTCAGACAGCCGTCATGTCTGGACGAAGAGTAAATAAAGCAGTAAACATAAATGTAACTGTTTGTCCTCATTACTGAGCGATCAAGTCTCGTAGTCTTCGTTATATTTGACCCCTCAGCTGTTACCTCCCCTGAGGTTCTGGTTTTCAGCTGTGAGAGCAAGGATACGTTTTCCGAGCTGGGCGTTATGTTGTTTAAGGTACCGTATCATATCAGCTTGCTTCTCCAAAACTTGTTCAGTGTACTGTTCATCTCTGTAATAGAAAACAATCAAGGTCACTTCCACATGTCTACAACATTTATATTCCAAAAACATGTAGAAAAAGCAAGAGGCCTAATGCCCTTGACGGTCACCAGAGATAAGCAATATTGAATATATAGGTGAAAGGATAGTTATCAAGTGTCATGAAACAGAAATTGTGACACTGAATATAGACAGTGTCAATACATGCATTAAAAAATAACTTTCATCCTATACTGATAATTCTTATAAAGTTATTTCCAGCAGGAAAAAACCAAGGTTATGCTCAAAATACAATTTTTCTATGAAAATTAGAATAAAGTCTAAAAAAATTCCTCCCCAGGAAGATATGAGACTGATTTTGGTACTTAAGAAACTTAAGATGCTTGCATTCATGGAGAGCATTTGATTCTACCATATCTGGGTCTCGAGAAGAAGATTTTTGAAATTTAATTCAATTTGACCCCTTTTGGTCCCATCCATCAGCCTTGATGGTCAGTCAGGATCAAAATTGGCAAGCCATCAAGCCGTCATCCTTCACTCAGAACTCTAACCAAGTTTGAATATTTCCAATGGAAATTAAACAAATTATTCTAAAAAATCTAATTTTCCTATATAAACTGGAGTAAACTAAACCCCCTCCCAATGGGGATATGCGAGACCCTGGGACCATGAAATTCACAATTTTGGTAAAGCACCTTAAGATGCTGTCATTCATGAAGAGTATTTGATCCAACCATATCTGGGTCTTGAGAAGAAGATTTTTGAAATTTAAGTCAATTTGATCCCTTTTGGCTCTGCCCATCAGTACCTGGGGGTCAGACAGGATCAAAATGAGCCTACTGAAAAACCGTCAACCTTCACTCATAATTCTGAAGTTTGAAATATTTCCAATGGAAATTAAACAAATTATGCTCAAAAATCTAGTTTTCATATATAAACTATAGTAAAATTTACCCCCTCCCAATGGGTAAATGTAAGACCTTGGGGCCATGAAATTCACAATTTTAGTAAACCACCTTAAAATGCTTTCATTGATAAAGAGTATTTGATTCTACCATAGTCAATTTGACTCCTTTTGGCCTTGCCCATCAGGCCCCTTAGGGGTGGGGATTGTATAATTCACAATTTTGGTTCATCTAAGGCAAGGGATGGTTTCTGCAAAATTTCATTGAAATTGTATCACGGGTTTTTCAGAAGAAGTCGAAAGGGTTAAATTGTGTATGGATGCACGACGCCTGATGAAGGGTATTAGAATAGGACACCATGAGATTTTGTCTCAGGTAACCCAATAAACCAAAACTTACATTTTCCAGCTTTAGACACAATCTCTCCCAGAATGCATGGTATTTTCTTTTACATAAACTTTATCAGGCTTCATGCCAAAACACTACCAGCCAATATGGCAACATTTGACACTTTGGCCCTTGAGAAGAAGTTGGTTCTATGGGTCAGGCTTAGCTTCAAACAAATTTGATTCACATTTCTGGTGAATGGGTCGACTGTACAAAACTTGTCTTCATAGATGCTATATTACCTGAATCCTATTTCTGATGAATGGGTCGACTGTACAAAGCTTGCCATCATGTCTTCTTGAGCAACGTCTGGGGACACTTGGCTTTTATTGAACTTCACAGTCTTCACTGGAAATTGACATTAAGGCAAAGGCATAATATCAAGGACATAAGTGTACAATCCATCTTTACCTGTGGCATGTATCTATTGCAACTGATATTTGACCAATGATATCAATTGACATAGATCACTGACCAAAATACAGAACTACACTGACCTAAATAAATAGGACTACACTGACCTAGATGGATTACATTGACCTAGATATGTGACTACACTGACATAGATATGTGACTACACTGACTGAAATACAAGACTGTACTGACCTAGATATAGGACTACACTGACCTAAATACAGGACTACACTGACCTAGATAGAGGACTACACTGACCTAAATGCAAGACTACATTAATCTGTATATTTATTTACACTGACCTATAGATATATCTTTAAACTGACCTAAGCACAAGACCACAATGACCTGGATGAAGGTGTTGATTGTGCTAGAACCAGAATTTCACTGACCTAGATATATGTCTGCACTGACCTAGATATATGTCTACACTGACCTAGATACATGTCTTCACTGATATTGATGCATTTTCACATAATCATGATCTTAATGGGGGAAATGTAAAATTAACAACAAATAAAGGGCATAATGCTGACCTAGATAGAGGATAAGTACGATGAGTTTGATGACGATGTGGAGCACGACGATGAGACGGAGGCTGAGATGCCAGACTTTGTTGTGTTTTCCAGTATCAGGTGTCCAGCCTTCCCGTCTTGCCACGCTGGCCAGGATGATCAATCCGGCATTCACTGATAGCAACAGAGTTGGAAAACACTTCAATGATTTTACAAAGTGAAACTGAGATGAAAAATATTAATAGTTTAATTTCATGTGCCTGTATCACTATAAGAATTACCTTCCTCGGCCTGGGATTCTTTTTCATAGTTACACTGTACAATTATAAGTACTAAATAGTGAAATTAATGTATAATACTGAGGTTTAAAGTGGACAGGTCGTGAGAATAACCCTTAGAAATTGTGCAGATATCTCCAACTTTTGGTTCCGAAATTATTTTTATCAAGGCAATCAACTGTTTTAGAATAGGAAAATAATTTTGGTTGGTTGGCTTGTGCATTAATACACTTCCCCTTCAATTAGGCATCTGGGTTTCAATTCTTCCTTTATAATGTATCAAAGAAAATGTATGGGGTTTAATGGCCAAATGAAAAGGCATTGGGTTACTGGCCAGATGAAAAGGTATAGGGTTACTGGCCAGATGAAAAGGTATAGCGTTACTGGCCAGATGAAAAGGTATAGCGTTACTGGCCAGATGAAAAGGTATAGGGTTACTGGCAAGATGAAAAGGTATAGGGTTACTGGCAAGATGAAAAGGTATAGGGTTACTGGCAAGATGAAAAGGTATAGGGTTACTGGCCAGATGAAAAGTTATTGAGTTACTGGCAAGATGAAAAGGTATAGGGTTACTGGCTAGATGAAAAGGTATAGGGTTACTGGCTAGATGAAAAGGCATAGGGTTACTGGCAAGAAGAAAAGTTAAGGGGTTACTGGCTAGATGAAAAGGCATAGGGTTACTGGCAAGAAGAAAAGTTAAGGGGTTACTGGCTAGATGAAAAGGTAAGGGGTTACTGGCTAGATGAAAAGGTATAGGGTTACTGACAAGATGAAAAGGTATAGGGTTACTGGACAGATGAAAAGGTATAGGGTTATTTGCAAGATGAAAAGGTATAGGGTTACTGTGAAATGAAAAGGTATTGGGTTACTGGTTTGATTTTAAATATAATGTTATTTTAGGGTTACTGGCCAGATGAAAAGGTATATTTTTTTGGCCAGATAAAAAGGTATAGGGTTACTGGCCAGATGAAAAGGTATAGGGTTACTGGCCAGATAAAAAGGTATAGGGTCACTGGCCAGATGAAAAGGTATAGGGTTACTGGCCAGATAAAAAGGTATAGGGTCACTGGCTAGATGAAAAGGTAAGGGGTTACTGGACAGATGAAAAGGTATAGGGTTACTGGCCAGATGAAAAGTATAGGGTTATGAAAAGGTAAGGAGTTACTTGCCAGATGAAAAGGAATAGGGTCACAGGCCAGATAAAAAGGTATAGGGTTACTGGCTAGATGAAAAGGTATAGGGTTACTGGCTAGATGAAAAGGCATAGGGTTACTGGCCAGATGAAAAGGTATAGGGTTACTGGCCAGATGAAAAGGTATAGGGTTACTGGCCAGACCATTTGGGGTTTTCCTTGGGTTGTCCAATTTCCTCATGAACTTCCAATACCGGCCAACAAGAGTGATTAGTGTGAAATGAATAACTGGTCTTGCCAATTTTTCATTGTCATTTGTTTGATTTTAAATATAATGATGTATTTTAGCATAGTAGTACTTTCTATCTTTATGCTTATTTTTTTGCACTATAGAATATTATTGTAATGACATGATAATCAGCAAAATCTACAACATCTAGTTCATGGTGCTATGAATGCAATAAGATCTTGCTTTGATACTGGTCAATAAAGAAAAGTATAGCTATGAAAACTTTTTCAACAGAAACTGAATTTTATGATAAAATCATCATTATCATATAAAAGGAATATTTTTATTTAACAAGTACGTAACCAAAAATGTGAGAAATAGATTATGTAATTTATCATTACAACTAACATGCATTTGATTGTTTTTGTACATGTGACCAGCTGAAAATTGTTAGAAATGTGTCCCATGCTATGTAGAAATTTTTTTCTTTCTCTCTCTTTATTTCCTTGTGTGTGTGACACACCAAAAAATGAATGTGTAATATTCTCAACACATACCTGCAGAATTTATGGCTAATGGCAACTGACGTACAAATCTTGTTTGCCTGTAAAACTCAAGGTATCCATGGAGACGGCTTTTCTTGTGACAATGTCGGTAAAACATGTCAAAGGTTAAATGTAGGAACCACAGCGCCCCCTGGATGTAATATATTATTGCCTCTGATTGCTGATGATACATGGAGTCCAATGCTAACACGACTGCTGCTGCCACCACCTACAAAAACAATTATTCTTGTAACCATGAACTGATTGTTATCTTGTACACAGTAAACACATGTGGAAATACTGTACACTCCACGATGGCCATTTGTCAGATGAAGGTGACTGTGTAGTCACGGAAACACATGATTTTCTAACTTGTTGTGATAGAATTTCTATTAAAAATGGATTATCACACCAAGTTATTTTGACGAAATTTTTAATAAAACAACTTATTTATTTTCACTGACTCTCTATTATATTGTATGTTTGCTTTGCTATTTGGAAGTTTTATCAAACTGTAAACAATAAATGCTTTGAAAGTAAAATAAAAGGAGCAGATTACAGCCTACATATACAAATGCTTTCTTTTTCTCATAAACTTCTGTAAAACTTCGACAATTTGAACCATCGGAAATAAAAACCAAAACCTATACAACAATATTTACCATTACAAGGAGGTGCAGGACAATTGCTGGTGTGGTATTGATGACCCGAAATGGCCTATCCAGTTCTGTGGTGTAAGTGGGACTGTCCAGAAGTGGTTCATCACTGTCCCGAGCTTGAATTGTATTGTCATCATTAAAAAAGTAACCCTGAAAACATTAGATATATAACTCTACAGTTTACTGTATCAAACAATTAATGAAAAAATAAAAATTGGGTGGGGTGGGGTGGGGGGAGTACTTTGAATGGTACAACTTTGTCAGTATCCTATGAAATAAGATAACAAATTGACAACTAGTGTATCCTCTTAGGTTCACCACCACACTGAAGTTAACAGGCTGCAACATCCTCGGAAAACCAAGACCCAATTTTCCAACACTTCTTTGTACTTTGCAACTCTATGCACCCTATATAAAACACTGAAAGATTGTAATTCACTATATTTTATTGTCATCTGCACCTCTTTCGGTTGATCTGGCTTGCACATGTTTCATTTTGAAATGATTATGATGGCTTTTGAACACTCCATAAAATGACAAATTCGGGAGTTAAGATATCACTAAAATTCCTCAAAACACAAAACGTTTTAAACACAAGAATATTCCCTATTTATTTGTTTGTTTTTATTTTCTCCCTTTTTCCTCTTCTTTCATCTATTTTTGTTCTTTTAAATTCATGTGGAAATTGAAAATTCTTCTAAAGACTCAGAGATCACAACCTTGAAGTGACTAATCCAAGATGATCACCTGTCATCCTTTCTTTTTCCTGATCAGTCCCAAAATCGAAAGGACACAAAATATAAATTTTCCCATCAGTGTATGATTTGTAGTTATCATCCTGTTGTAAATTACTAAAAAACATTGCTAGAATGTTCACACCTTGCAAGGGTCACAAAAAGATATTTTTATATTTGGAGGAATTCTGACTATTAACGGCAACAGAGACAAAAGTAAAACCAATGATTGATAGTCTGAACCCTTCAAAATACAGACTGTACATAATTGGTATCAAAACAGTGAAGCCATATAAATCTGGCAGGTCAGGGCTTTTTCATAGGGCTCGGTGGGACCAAATATAGACACCATTCCTATTGGATTTATTTCACAGTATGGCCGAATTCCAAAAATATATAATTCAACTCCTTAAAATGTCCGTCTCACTTGATAAATGTTCGCACCAAAATGAGATACAAAGACCTTTTCCCAAATTACCTTCATTGCATAAATCACAACACACCAGTAAGGTTTGGCATATTTAATTAACAAAAAACACTGAAGCATTACACAAACAAATTAAGCATTACATAAATAAAGCCCTTTTACCCACATGCTTTACTGTCTTGAAATGTCCATCACTGTCTCAAAATGTTCATCACTTTATATTCAAAACTGGGTGAAAGGGCTTAATAAATTATAGCAACACCGAAAGCATTAGCAGGGCTCTCGATTTGCCAAATTTGGGGCCGAATAATGCAAAATAGTATCTTTTTTTTCCAATTTAGACCCCAAGTTTTCCCAATTCTAAGGAAAACACCATTATTTTTCCCAATTCTAAGGGCCCCAGGCCCCAGTCCCAAAATGGGGTGTGAGAGCCCTGATTAGAAACACACTGCAGGCAAATAATAAAAGGTTAAACAGTTCTTGAAAACTAAGTACATAGAAGACAGAGACTTCTACTTATATATGTACAGCACATGCACACAAAAAGACTACACAATAATCTAAACCTACAAACTGCATGAATTAACTTAACCACCTAACATTCACAATTAAACTCAATGGTCTAGGGAGAAAAACTGACCATAGTGCGCCAAAACTGGACAAATGCTGGACAGAAAAGGATGCTGTGGCCCAATTGATTGGCTAATCGAGGCACAGCCAGCCCCGAGAACAACTCAGCCCATTCCCCCCAGAACCATTACTCAAGCGAAAAAGATGAATTTACACTATATTATTTAAAATGAACTAATAAATAAAACCATCTAATTGTTAATATTGAAAATGAAATTATCGATGCTGCAGGGGTAATTATCAATTTTTAAATAGAAATAAAACAATAAGTGAAAAATAACCCTGCATGTTGGTAGTACACTGATAATACAATAGCCCGTTCGTGACTATTTTATATCAATTAATTTACTTAATGATACGCATGTGTCACAAGACGATATATATGGACAAAAATAAATTACCGAAATTAACTTGATTCTTTGTTGGGTCGTATCAAAACGTCCACCAGAACCTGACGTGCGATCAATAAGAATATTTTTGGACAGTTTTCATAGTGATAACTATTCTTACTGACAGACCATCAGACACCGTAAAAGGACAAAGGAAGTACTGCTAGTGTACCGGAATGGATAGAGCATTTTGACATCGAGTCGTCCAATGATGAACAAATTCGTCGTTGTTATTGTTTTGTCACGTGCTTTATGATTATTCATGGTCCGATCTGTCATGCCTGAATATTTTACATTTTCGAACGACGGAGATGTCAAGCATAGTACGATTTCGGTATCCATTTCGTTTACTACAAGTCAAACTTATTCATTTCTCATTTTCAGAGCCTAAAAGTATGACTGAAAGCTTTACTTACGCCAGAACGCCGGTTTTCGTTTGACAGGCTCACCATCGCGGATTTTGTAAATTAGTCAAGAGCTCGCAAGCGTTTGAAAAGGCGTGATTACTGTACGAATAAAACGCGGAAATCGATCAATTTCCGGAATATACATAGAAAGACCATTATATTTAATTAAAATGGCATATTGTTTGCATTTTTTAAAAATATATATATCCATTGTATATACATATATTTGTTAAACGTTTGTTGAAAAGCTGACATAGGAAAATAGTATCTATATCGCGAACATACGGAAGCTATGAAAATATTTCAAACGAAACTCAATACTAGCTAGCCTCTAGTAAGGTAGCAGTAAACAGTTAATTTGCATTTTTCCTGAAATTATTTGTCATGTTTGAGATATACAGGTATAGCAGATTGGTTATGAAAAATACATCATTACATGTATATATATTTATAAACTGTATAACAATTACATTAACAGTAGAGAGATGAAATTTGTGTAAAAAAAAAAAAAATCCTCTGATTTCTGACATTTGATTGTCATGGTTACCTACTGAAAAAATGCTAAAAATGCAAAAATACTGCTAATTCCAACCCAACACTACAACTTTCTAGGAGAAATTTAATTCTAAACACCTATCTTACAATCAACAATACTGTCATGGTAACAAAGTACTTACATTTCAGCAAATTCCAACTCGGAAATTCTTCATAACATGACCACATGTAAACACTATGTAAATTTCACTTCCTGTAAAGCTAGTTTTTGGTGCGTAGACACAGATTCGAGACTGCCCAAATAGTAATCTCCAACACCAAGCTAAAATGTTATCCTGGAAAAAAATGAAACCCCACATTGTCCACTTTAACATGACAGGACCAATTTTAGCAAGGATTTTTTTTTCATTTTTAATTAAAACCTTTATAATGGGGTAATCTAATGAGCAAAAAAATCACCCATGGCCACACCGAGAAACTGTGTACTGCTACCTAATGAATTGAGTCTTGTCTGAATCGACTCGTTCTACTTCTAGGCGTTGTCTCACCAACGAAACAGGTATCGACTTTGACCTTTAATAGTTATCGCCCTTGTTCTTAGATAGGTTGGTTGGTGACAGGTTTTCCGTCTCCTTGACTCTTCCTATTTCCACCAACGTCTGTGGCAAAATGTATAATAAAAATTAGTAGGGCCTACATGGAGGACTTCTTAGATATAAGAAAAAAATATTATTTTCAGGGTGAATGTGTTGAATGATTCCAATGTCTCCAAAACTTTTTTATTACCAAATCCTTTTAACTTCGACTAGGTAGACCTTATCAGAGATAATTCTTTTCGGATAAAGCCAAATCAATGAAAAAGTATTCCCGTTATCAAAATATTGACGTCTTTGTTGAAACTGCAAGTTTTCCAAGAACAAAGCCACAGGGAAATTAAAGTATATAATTCTGTAATGAAATGTCAGGTTTCAATCAAAATAAACGAATGGAAATTGGTAATGATTTTTTTTTTAGGTTTTCGAGACATGCATTACCCAAACTCATACCTAATGTTTTGTGGAAGCTAGCGCTCCAGTTTCCACAACAACGAAAATATATACGATACATACTACCCCAACTTCAGCTTATGAGCAATATGCCGAAGTGTGGAATGCAAAAGGTAACTTCGAATTTTCTCAGATTTTTAACAAGTGAGGGCTTCGTTAAACCGCCATAAATTAGGGTACTTTAATGTACACAAAGCTGAAATAACGACAGTTGTCTGGCCGTTCTTTTATATCATATGTGCTCTCTCCGAATAGCTATAGTGTCTCTAATTCTGCGTTTGCATGAAATTCTACTGTCCGTAGAGGAATGTTATTACAAACTCTTTTGTTTAATTTAGCCTACAAGTGTTCGATTGGGGACAATTCAGCTCTTTTTGCAGGTTAATCAATAGTAACGATGTTCTTGGTTGTAACGCTCCCAACTCTATCGGGCTCCAAAACTAAAGCGTCTGCAAGACGCTGTCATCGAAGCTGATACACCCGTTGACGACCATCTTTCCGAAATAACGCAAATCGAGATTATTGATGTTGCTACGTTACACGTGGACGTCCAGATCTCGGTCTGTCATCAATTATTCTCATGGCGTTGACCAACTTTTAGTCGATTTGTGAACTGCGTATTGAATATGGGGAAAGACCTATATCATTTACATCACAATTTATTCCAGAATGTCTTTAATGTTTCTCTCATTTCGGGAATCCGGAAAGAGTATACGATAGGATTACAGACGGAATTCAAACACCTTACGACAAAAAGAACATGCTGAGTTCTCGATAAGTAAAATAAACACAAGAAAAAGCAAAGAAAAATAAAAATGACACAAGAAAATACCAATAATATAAAAATGTGTGTTTACAATGTTGACACAAGAAATTCACTGGAGGATAAACAGTTAATTATGGGTTAAACGTTTTATAGGTAAGACAATAGGATAAGAATCTGCTAAAATATTGAATAGACTTAATATAGTTCTTTAGAGAATTTTATTATGAAATCTGATTATCCATGCTCCATGAGGTGATAGCTGAGGGAACGTTTAAAGGAGGCAAAACGTGTTGCCGTCCTTACCTCATTTGGCAAATTGTTCCAGAGTTGGCTTCCTGCAACTACAAAATTATTGCCATAAAACTTGGAACGATGTTTAGGAATATGTAAAATATTGCTATGGCTTGATCTTGTGCATCTGGTATGGATATCAGACTTTAAGTTAAACAAACTACAAAAATAATCTGGAACAAGATGATGGACACATTTGTATACCATTGAACCTGTCCTGTAACGATAAAAATCAGCTAAAGACAATCAGTTTAAAACACAAGACAAATCAGCAGATGGAGTGTCATATCGTACATCTAAAATCACCCTTGCTGCCTGCTTTGGAGTTTGTGAAGCTTTTGTGACAGATGTTTTGAACATCCTCTCCAGACTGTTGAACAATACAGGAAGTGGGCTGACGTTTCCTTATTATGGTTCTGGGAATGATTGACAGTGCTCGGGTTGATGCGGCGTCTAGACAATTTATGTTTCTAAATAAATCTGATGATTGTGGCTATACACAAGATAATAAACAGTTTTAAACAGATGGTAATTGTTACAAAAACATAATGACGTTTGGCTTGTCTTTTTGAAACAACACTCTCAAATTACAGATTGAAATGTCGTGTTGTGAGTTTTTAAACACGAGAAATGGTATTACACAAAGTATCAAAGTGATAAGAAAAGTGACCAGAAGACACTTGAGGAGAAATAACGAGTTCTTTGTTATCGATTTCCATGCTGTATAATGGCACGTAAGGACACGGTCAAGGCAAATGGCGGCAACTTGAGTCATAGAATCTATCAACATGACAGTGAAGAATACTAACCGTTCCCAACAGTCCCATTAGATAGTGACGTCACCAGTAGTCGTGACCAAAAAGGCTATCCCCAATCCGCCATCTGTCAGGCTTAAGCTAAGAAGCGGAATCAGGCGAAATTGGAAGCTTCAACTTTTGTGACAAAAGAATTATTGATGGTTTGTTGACGATGACGATGAAAACAGTTCACTGGTCGTATTAAAAACATTGAATATACTATTGTGAACTATAGTTATATCGTCCTTAGTCCTTAAGTAGACAGTGTTAGAAAGCCAAACATTAAGACACAATATTCAGTAAACACTATATCATGTTGTTATGACGCATGGAATGTAATGAAGCCTCATTACAGCCGTTAAACATCTCCACCAGCCCATCTTAACCAGAGGAATGTATACTCATTCAATCATTCCGAGAAACAGCAAAATACTCTCCAAAGTGCCTAATAATGCATTACTAACATCAGTTGTCTTAGCAAATTAGGTTTACAATATTGATTTGTAAAAAAATGTATTTGTCACGTAGGTCGAATGTCTGAAACAGTAATTTAAACTTCTTTCCCTATTAGATAGACATTATCAGATAGACATATATCGATTCGTACGTAATGTTTTCCTCAATAAGACGTGACTTATCTATGACGTTGCAATTGTGTTGGTTCACTTGTGCCTTATGATATATGTGACATAACCGTATGATGTGATAATATTAATTGTCTTGCGTTCAAATTTAGATTAAACCGTAAGAAATTATTACCTTGAATATCAGAATTCAACATAATTCAGCTCCCAGTAAACGGTTTTTGAAATTTGAACTTTTAGCACCGATATACCTTAATGCTGCAAATAATCAAATAAGATATATGAGTTATTCGTATTTATATAACATTGAGTGTATATCCTAACGTACTGCGTAATGAAAACTTCCTGCGGGGAAAAAATCACTATATACTGAAAAAAAAATAGAATTTGACAAATGTAGAATTATAGATTTGCGGTGAACTGATCAAAACCAGATCACAGACTGAATACATCCAAAAATTAGTTTCAAATTACTAACTAATTCACATAAAATGACAAAATGCCTTATCTCATACTAAGGTATAGGGAATAAAGATCATGAACCGGCGAAACTATATATAATTATTTGCAAAAGCGTGTCAGCTGATATATGACAAAACGAATCTTATTGTAACTTTGTTAAACATACTGGAAATATTCAGGTAGATTAAACCGTATCGTGATTTGATAATCTGACAAAAGACACAGATCAGCTAATACACGTATTTATTTTTTTACGATTTGTCAATCATGTACCCAAATTCGTGGAAGAAATTAAAAAAGATTTAATCCATCACATATAAACGTGAAAGCAATTATTTATGTCGGGAATGTATCGACCCAAAACCACACAAATTACTGACTACGTTTCCCGGGTATATTTTTCTACACTTGGAAGGATCTTAAGGAGAGACTCTTACGCCGATGTTCACTATACTTATATCTTGTCGTTAAGCACTGTTATCTTTTTCGGTTTCCCCAGTAAATTTGTTACGTTTGCCTGTTGTTGTTGAGTTGGTGAATAACATAGATTCCTATTTATCTAGGATCCATTAGATAAATATTCAACATTTCGTCCCACAATTAAACAATCCTGGGGAATGATATGGCATAATATGAATTTCCTTAAAGTGACAGACAATGGATTGGTGAAGATTTTGTCTCTCGACTAGTACTAAGCTTTCTAACGCACTGCGCCTCACAACGTATTAACGAATATTTACCTAGAAGAAGAACGCTATGTGTTGGGACCACTGCCTTGGAGAGATCAAATTCAGTTGGAATGAAAATATCTACGTTTGACATCAGTACTTTATCATTTCTGTTTATGACCGGTAAGAGAGGCGATATAATGTGATTAAGCGTGTTGTAACGCTATGGTGTTGTAAATTGTTCAAAAGATACAAGCAAGTAGCACATTTTAACATAAATTTAGAGTCAGCACGGCAGTGTCAAGGATAAGCTAAACTGTATTCTGCAACTGTTTCGTCCTCCTAAGTCAGCGATGATTCGCACGGGCCGTAGGATTGAAACCTACGAGGCGACTGACAAAATCTCGAAAAGTCCAGATAGGGAGATGTACTGGTACCACAGATAAATAAATTTCGTAATTTTCACATATCAGGTTATTTCCATTGTGGTTGTAGCGTAAAATATCATTTTTAATTTCATATATACCTAGCTGTTGAAAGGACGTTAAACCCCACACCAACATGAATAGTATATTCGGAAGTCATTTTAACATATTGCCCGTATACATACAAACTATTTTGTTCGCTATAACATCAATATTAGTAAAAGTCTTGTTACTAAACTTAAGAGTACAATAATCTCGTTACAGACTAAACGGACCTTAACATTTTAACAATACCATAAAGTAATTCTGACTGTAGTAGTGTATAAGTATATATTTTATATCGCGATATTATGACATTGTTTGGCCTATTTTATACTCGTTATTTTCACTTGTTGTTCCGTCGCGTTGTTCTTTATTTGTTCTAATTTTGGAATGTGACACTACATGAATTGGCTAAGATTTACATAGCAGGTGTCATCGAAGAAGAAGAAGACACATACTCTTCAGGAACACCTGGTCTCATTCTTCTTGTTCTTGGAATGGGGTATCTATGTAAACATTCGTTTAGATTTTGTCCTAATTATATTGAATTTGAGATTGAATTCAGATTTTGTTGAATGTCGGTATTTTCTTTTCCCTGTTCTCGTTATTGGCGCGATCACCTAAAGATTACCTTGTTTGAATATGTGCTGTGTAAGGGGATATAAAGTAATCACTTTGTCTGTCGTGCGTCCGTCCGCTCGTTCAAAGATTGTGTACAATGTATGACAAGAACTATTGGAAATAATCTGTCAGTTCAAAGTTACGGCGGTTTGAAATCGATTTCTTCTGAATATTAGTGACCAATTAATGCATGTATTCATTTCTAGGAATAAAAAAAACCATAGAACTTGCCATAGCAATTGCCGAAGGTCACGATTGTTGTTGCAGCAAGAGGTTAGTGACAAAATTATTATTCTGTGTTTTTAGATCAAGCTGTTTAATCTCACGAAACATCACGCGATATATATCTGATTAAGAACAGCTTATGATGGCCATTAGATTTTTATACGTAAGATACCTGTACTAGTATTGATAGATATAGCTCTGATATAACCAGGTCTCCTATCTACCGATCATAAATTCACATCATAAACTGATAAGCTGTAAAAGGCAGCCATTGAATTGACGACATAATAATATCATAAGGAAATATGACATTCTGTAGTGCGATATGGATTTGGAGGTGATTGATGCTCGTCAGTAAACAGGTGGTTGTTAAGAAAGCACAAAAGACAAAAAATGAATATAACCTTTAATTAAAAAATCAGAAACAGACACAGCAGAGCATAAATTCAGTAGCCAAGGAAGTGACTGAAGAAAATACAAAGTAACCGAAAGAAAAGTCAAAATGCAGATTGAGAGACGAACTAGCTCCATAATTCAATTCAATTATAATTCAATACATGATCTTAATGCCGCGAGGAACAGGCTCAGTCACAATTACAATTTTACATTATCTTGATTCTGCGAGTACCAAATTATTTCATGAATACAATTTTTGATACAAGACGCAAGATAGTCTATTGAATTATTAAGTGTATATGACAAGTCTTCAACAACGATACAACAATACTTCTTTATGGAGATTTAACCATCCATGTACTACAACGTGTTCGCAAAACATCAAAGAATGAAATTAAAAACTGACGTAATATCCGAATTCTGAATACTTTCTTTTCTTAAAATCTGTCTTATGTAATCTATTGGCTTTCCTATTTCCATAGAAGATTTCCTGTTTATTTGACAATTTTAAACGTGTACAATTTACTATTTGTGTTGAATCAGAAGGATTAACATCATCAGAATTAACTGCTGATTTCATTAACAAACAATACAATTTGGATGGCGAGATTCATCATTAAAACTTTATGAAGTCTTCTGTTTCAATCAGAGTGCACTCCCACGGGTCACAGAAAAGAATATTTGCACACCAGGTGGTGTCACAGTTCACCAGGCTCGTACGGACTTGGTACCACCTCCATCAGATACTGAACTAATCTGGTCACGGATTCTGTTTATTGAAATACATGAATAATTATTCCACAGAGATGGTATTGTTTTAATCTCAAAACAAAATGGATGCGAATTAACACCTAGAATGGCACCTATGTACCTCCATATCTTAATTCAATAAAGATGAAACAGAATGATATATTTGTTGAGTTTTACCTGAGACATATCAATTACCATGTGGTCAGATGTACGTGATTATCGTTATAAATAGAATAGGTTCAGACACCATGGTGACAAGGGACAAGGCGAAATAATTCCTGTTTAATGTAACAATGACATAGCAACCAATACGATATATAAAACAGATCTATATATCATATATATGCTATATAGTCATGCGTAAATAGCAATAATTAATTTTAATGTATGACCACATGTTCATTATTCATCATATTTCTAGTAGAAAGAGTTTTACACCGACGAATATCTGACAATGACTTTTATTGTTTTTGGAAACATGACAAGTCTTCAACTTTCAAAATTTAATTTATTTAGTCTACATAACAAACACATTAATAATTATTACCGAAATATATTAAATAATCAAAACTTACAGTAAAATGTTAAATATAAAAGATGGAAAAATATTTGTTGATAACACTTACCGAAACAGCCTCGATCTGTACGGCAGTGTGCGAAAGGTATATATAATATCAGTCCTCCCAACATAAATAGGAATGCATACAGGAACTCAACGGTAGGATTCTGGATGATCGGTGCTACCACTAAGTACATCGAACACACTATGAAAATCAGTGGAAACAAAATGAAGATCTGAAAGTAAACAACGAATTTGTATAAGGTGAAGCTGACTTTCATTAATATCAAAGCCCAATTCTCATAAACTCCTCACTAAGACAGTAACGTGGATTTATAACAAGCGTGGAGTGCGTCCCTGCTAAAGACAGACAGATTTAATTGGTATTCACATCGCAGTAACATCCGAATACGAAATAAAAATACACCATTTCTTGATGAACTGGGCAGGGTATACATGTATCTGTATAAGCCCATTCTCGCATTATTTTGGGTTTTTATATATATAGATCATCGTGATATTTCCGCCGTCACTCTATGCTATTAATAACACACCTACTCTTATGTGTGATTTTGAACATTTGTTTAATAAATTGCAAAAATGAAAAAGATTTAAAGAACTTTTTTTGATCATATTACTTTAATAGGACGATGCGAGTTCTTCATGGTAAATCTCAATACCACCAACGCCAAAACTGTAAGGGTATAAAATAGCCAGGCTGCGAAACTGAAAAAGTTGATAAGGCTCCGAATTTCACCAAATGTCATAAACAACAAGGCCAGTATTGTCTGTAGAAAACAAAAACAAACAACATAAATGGGGACAGAAAGTGAAATTGTTTCAAAAAATAGGCTATTAGTCCTGGAGAAAACAGCTGTTGTGCGGTTTGGTTCATCCTTTGGTATATCTGTAGCTATCTTTATATTGTGTTAAAAGGTGTTGCTCACTTCTATGCCTTCTGTATAATTTAAAATGCTTAATTCTTTCTTTTTTTCTCCTGATAATGATTGGTTCGTTTTATGGTATCTATTGAATCCTGAATTTACCGTCTATAATTCTTTCAAAAACATCACTTTCCTATAACCGTAGTGATAAGACATGATATCAGGTCGATAAGTCACAGAGCACGCCTCTAGTGCTAAATTTTGATTTAAAGAAATATTTCATATTATAGGGACCTTACTATCAACAATAAGCTATTATTATCTTAAAACAACGAAGTGAAACTAATCTAACTGTATCAATATTATGTGTATTTCAATATAAACAATGAAAATGAATCCAAACTTTTCTTGAAATGAATTCTGTAAACTATCTATAGGTTATCACTAATCATTAGTTAGTAGTGTTGATTTATGGCACGTTTCACATTTTCGAGCAATGTCAAATATGATTATTCATTCAACAAAGCAACAGTATATTGTAAATGATAGCATTGATTTCAGGTAAAAAGGATTTCCATGCTATTTTTGTATATATCTTTAGTGAATTTTTTGTGAAATTACATTTATCTACATTTCTTTGTTTCGGATTCGTAACGCCAATAATATTCAAAATCAAGGTAACTTTCGTTGATAATCTGGGTTCTCAGTACTGTTCCTGTCATACTTTGCATCATTTGTCAGGGTCAAAATGCATCATTGATGCCAAGAGGAATTGCCATCTGGACTAAATGTATCGTTATCGATGTGATACTGTCACAAATTGCTGTTATTAATTGATCAAACATCGCGTTACATTTCAAATAAATTAGAATTTAGAATATATCCCTGTGATAAGAATTTTACAAATTTGTTTTATTTTTGTCACCAGACTTACCGTTAACATGATGCTGGGTATTGGAGTATACCTTTTACAACTGACGTAGGACAAAACCTCAGGGAATTGTTTTTCTCTGGCAGCAGCGTACAGTATCCTGTATAAGTATGAAATCCTACCGTAAGTGATATGTCAATATTGTTCGTAAAAACAAAACATGTTTTGTTTTCATTTTTGCTAGAAGTTGGTAAGTTGTAAGCTACAACAACAAAATGGATTATTTTTTTTTCTTAAAATGGTATGTAAAGCAAAGGATCAATATTATCATTGCTTTCATGAAATGTGTTCCGACTGTAATGTATTTCGGATACTTACTGCAGTGATCCATAATGTAACAGTAGGATTTTTAACGACGTCACTGAACTACACGCTTTACAGAAACACACAAGATGGCACCAGTGTGAAAACATCGATTGTCGATCGCTGAGCAGAATGAGTGATTCCTATATGTTTCCTACAGTTCCAATGAACGGCAGAGATATTGGTAACGACTCCTGCATTACAGGTATCCAGTTAAATTGCCATTTGGTTGATGCACTTTCTGATTATTGACAAAACTGTATTAACTCTTCAACTGATATATATTGTGTATATGTATATATACTCAACAAAAAAAGGAAAGGTTAAAATGTTTCCTTGGCGAATACCTGTAAATGAGTGAAAACAAAATGAAGTTTGAGATATATAAGAAAATGGTAATGTTGTACATTACAAATACCAAGGGGGTTAACAAAATCATTCAAGCGTGAAAGTCTGTATTAGCGAAAGAGCTGCACGAGGTTTTCTGCGACTAACTTGTATCTTCGCTTGAATTTCATAAACATTCAAACTGACAACTGTTCCTTAGATCCTTAGGACTTAGAAATCACCTAATCTTGCTATCTATCAACTTTATCATTATGTCCCGGCTGCCACAAGTACAGAGAGAAAGGGCTGTAGGCAGGATCCAGGCTGGGGAGTCTCGCCGTCGAGTTGCACGGCATTTTGGTTGCAGTGTTAAGACAATTTGCCAGTTGGTAAGTCGTTTAAACCAAACTGGGTCAACATCCGATCGTCCCCGAAGCGGCCGACTCCGTAAAACGATCGCCAGGGATGGCCGTCGTATACGATTGATACACTTTCGCAATCGATTCGTAACCGCAGTAGAGACTACAAGGACATTGTTTGGGCGTCGTGTGTCTCCCCAAACAGTCCGCAACAGGTTGAGGGCCTACCAATTGAAAGCGCGGCGTCCCTACACTGGACGTCACCGTAATAATCAGCGTAACTGGACCCGTGTTCACCGTCGTTGGGCCTTACGACAATGGAACAATGTTCTGTTTTCAGATGAGTCCAGGTTTTGTCTGCAACACGGTGACGGAAGGCGCAGAGTGTGGAGGCGACGAGAGGAGCGTTTTGCGAACTGCTGCGTCGCAGAACGGGACCGTTTGGCGGCGGAAGTGTAATGGTTTGGGGTGGTATTTGTGGGGGGACTCGTACCAGGCTTGTTGTGTTAAATGGGAATTTAACCGGCATTCGATATCGGGACGAAATCTTAAGACCAGTGGTTCTGCCATTCTTAAGACGCCATGGCGTTGGCGCCATTTTTCAACAAGATAACGCACCAGCGCACACTAGTCACGTCAGCAGAACTTTCTTGCAGCAGAATAACGTACAGGTGTTAGATTGGCCATCTAAATCACCTGATTTGTCACCGATTGAGCATGTATGGGACGTTCTTGGGCGACGCGTGAGAGAACGTCAAAATCAGCCGTCAAACTTGCAGGAGCTGGCCCAAGCCTTGATCGCTGAATGGAACAACATCTCTCCTCGAATTAACCGCCGGTTTACGAGTTCCGTGCGACGACGCTGCAATGCTGTTTACTTCGCAAACGGTGACCATATCAGTTACTAATGGTGTTACCTTTGAAATTGACCCCAACGTCCTTTACAGTCGAATAAAATCAACTGAACGCAAAGTTTTATAATGAACCATGACTGTAGTTTTATCAGAATTGATCAATTATTTTATTCGTACATGATTGGTAAGGATTTATGAAGGGGTTAATTAATTAATCACAGAATAAAGTAGTGTTACCTTTCTTTTTTTGTTTAGTATATGTTGCAGTTATGCGAAACATACAGCAAAAATGGAGGTTCATATTCTCGTCGACATAGAGTAAAGTTGTCATGTTTTCAAGACGAAAGAGAATTGCTGTAGGTAAAACCCTATGTCTCTATAACTGCCCCCTTCCGGAAGTTAACGACGTAACACACGTTGGATTACTGTTGAATAATAAATTTAATAGTTTTGAACACACTATTCGTACGTGTAACAAGCTTCGTAGTGGACCAATGAGTTTGATTCGCTCGGGCTGTCACCCTAGTGTTTTAAACCCTCTTACTACTGCTAAAGTGATTAAGACAAAAGTATATGTTTCAGCCTTATATGGCTGTGAACTTTGGAATCTTACAAACACAGAAGTATTAATGCTAGAAAGGGCACAGCATGTTATTGTCAAATCAGTTCAAGGATTTGAGATTCGAACAAGAACCGATATGTGTACCAGCCTTCTGGGTTGGACGAATATAGAAGGGTTTATAGATACTTGAAAGTTGCTATTTTTCGGTAGGCTTTGTAGATTAGATAATAAGACACTATCGTCTGTTATACTGTTAACGAGATTTTTTTATTGTAAATCTGTTTGAAGAAAATAATTGTTTTGTATGTGATATAATGAGAATTTTAAGGAAATACAATATATTAGAACCAGTTTTAGAGTGTTTAAATGAAGGGAAGTTTCCACTTAAATCACGCTGGAGGGTTCAGGTAAAACATGCTGTGCATGACTACGAGGACAAAACCTGGTTAACCGATGTGTAAATTATGTGTAAAGTTCCCGGAAAACAGGGAGGCTGTTCATTATCTTATGAAATTAGTTGTGACCATGCGATGGTTAGATCATAATGAATTAGGTCATAAATATGGTCAGTTGTATAATGACTTTGCCATTCATATAGTATTACATTGTAGTTCAACTGAAAAATTAAGAGACAAATGATGGTGCGAAATTATCAATATTAGTGATATTTTGTTTAATGTATATTTGCACGCCTTAGAGGCAAGTCGATTATTTCATGTTCTGATTGGAGGAAGCTTATCTTATGACTTATGTAACTCCGACTTGGAAGAGTTCCGCACCAAGTCAGTCAGGATAATCTTTCGAGTGATAACGTCATATTACAGATGACATATTAAAAACATTTGATTAATCAAAAAGGTTCGACGTTGTCAGCCTAAACATCTACCTTATCATTGTAATTTAATATGTATAACAATATTGCAAATATTGCGATTTAATATGTATAACAATATTATAAATATTGCGACTTAATATGTATAACAAAATTGTAAATATTGCGACTTAATATGTATAACAATGTATTTATGTTGAATGTATTTGATGTTCTCTAATTATTGTTATCTTCATTGTGGAGGAACTAAAGTGTATATATTGAACGGTGTTCACAGTTAATATGTAATATACAGTAACTTGATATGATTGATGGCCCTGCTGGTTGTGACATTCAGTGTTGATCTTTCGCAAGTAGAAAATTAATTTGAAAAGAGAGGAGAAGAGGATGAGGAGGATAAGATAAAAATATGATGATATTTCCTCATTTTGACGTTATGGGAGAAATTACAGGAATATTTCTTCATCGCTATGGTTCTTTGCATGTTTGTCTTGCAATCAGTTTGCCATACGTTCACCTGGGTAGTTAAATCTCAGGTACATTAAATGAATAAATTCTGTTACTGGAGTTAATATATTTTGTTGCGTAAATCATGAACTTCTATTACATTACATAAAAGTATAATATATATTCAATGTTGGTTAATAGCATATAATGCAATAACTGTGCGTTTTGTACGTAATTAAAGTACAATGTAAATAGTTTACCTTGATCCACCAAACAAGGTCGCATTTGCTGCTCCGATTGTTGAAAACAACACAGCAACCGGCATTAGTATCCCGGCAGGTCCGAGAACTATCTCACCCCATGTCTACCAAAGTTCATCAAACAGGTACTGTAGTTATCATTATCGTTTTGGTTTGACTTAAAGATTTAAACAAAATGGATGTGTTTTTTTACTTCTAATTCATGAAATAGATTGTTGTTTTCTGTGTTGATTTTGTTTTTTCTGTGTATTTATTTATTCGAAAATAACCACCTTCATACTGTTCGCTTGAAAACAGAAATACAGCTGGACATCTGTGAAATTTGCAATTTTAACGTTTCCAATATTGTCATATGATAGTCTTTTTCTAATATCTCAACTTACGAATGCTACGGCTCTTGACTGCTGAAGTCCATCCGTTCCGAGTACAGTGAGGTACGAGACGTTAGCGAGCAGGTATACTACAATTGTGAGTGTCACCCCAAAAATATTTGCCCGCGGAAGGTTTCTAAAAGCAAATGTTAAAAGGAAAAATGAAAAAAAAAAACTATGTTGACACTATTGATTCTTACAATATGTACATTAAACAATATGTTTGATGATAATATCTTCCTACAGACTATTGGTATGGATATTAAGTGTGCTCCTCTTCTGACTGACTTATTTTCATTTACTGGATTTATCGAAGAGTTTATCAATATATGTCAGAAAGACCTTGCAACACAATCAGATATGATGACGTCTTGTCTTTAAATGAGAAGAAAGTTATTAACAACGTCTAAATAAATATCCACCAGAACAGACAAGACAGACTCTTTATCATCCGCCGCTCATCTCGATCTTTTTTCTTCGACGAAACAAACATGGCCAGCTTTCTAATAAAATGTATGTTAAATTAATGATTTCAGTTTCTCTATTGTTAACTTTCCTTTTCTGGGAAGCAACGTTCCTGTATCAGCAACATATGGCGTTTAAATATCGCAATGGTTCTATATTCAAGGGCCTCCTCCCATTACCATGAAGTCGCCAACTGACGGACAAACTTGTAACACAGGGTTTAAAAAGATGTAGGTTGATCAAAATTATGGGAAAGTTTCACGATCGTCATAGTGATCTCATTGAAGCATATTCTATTTTTTATCCTACATGAATCTGGACGTGCTTGATGCTCGTCATTTTGACGGTTGATTTCGTTATTGTATACCTTGTTCTCATTTGAGAATGTGACATTTATTACTTTGATTGTGATAAAGTTGACGTGATGGTAGTTTTTTTTTGTTTGTTTTTGTTTTTTGTTTTTTGTTTGTTTTTTTTATGTTATTTCTAACCATATATACTCACTCATTCGACGTAAATAGTTCATGCTTACTTATGTGGATGCTTCAGTTCCTCCGTCACACAATTCAGTCTATTCCTGGACAATAATGGAAAAAACTATGTACAAACATGCTCATTTACTGCTTTTTTTTTTTTTGTTTTTTTTTTAAATCTCATTGTCGTCAATATGAATAGTCCAATTGCCCTAGTATTTAAAATATTTTTTTTATAATTTTAAGGACTATCGATTTCAGTAATGAAAATCTGATAAGGACTTACTGAATCTACTCAATATGCATATGCTAATTCATATTTTTCTAAACAATAATAGGCCTGAATATATACAAAAGGATCTAGCAATCCATTAAAATGAGAAATAATACATCCGATGTGTATATGAAAATTCATTTATTTGTATTCAGATACAACAACGACATGCCAACAGAATCTATATTCAAACTCGGATTTGATGAAAACATGGCAAAGTATTAACAAAAGAAAGATTTATATGGAGACTCCGGTATAGCGTATAGCGACCATGTGTTCCTGAAGAGTAAGCGTCTTCTGCTTTATCGATGACACTTGCCATGTACACATTGGTCAAATTAAATAAATAATGACTATAAAAGCTTGTTTGAATAAATATATCTAACATTTTGTGTAATTAATTATTGTCTTTTTATAGGTTTTACTTGCATGTATTTTCATTTCCATATATAATTTCTTCAAGAATATAAAGTAACCGGTATGGTTGTTCTCATTCCTTAAGATCATGCAGCAGTGGTAGATTTTCTCATTGGGTACACTTACTTATTCTACCTCAGTAGTTCATCTAGTCCATTATTTCTTTGATATCTTCATCAACTATATATTATACTCTCTGGAATGAGGTAAGTGAGACTACCTGCTAAAGTTTATATCCCACAGGCAAGTGTCCCTATATCTCTTTACGTCTTATCAGTATGTTACCACCGCGCCACCGATCTCTCAATTTTTTTTTTAAAGTTTCATTCGTTGGTTATACAAAAGACACAAACTGTATGTACAGAATTAGGTACAGTAGAGCCCAAGAATAAATTAAACCACCTCATACTGTTCTTTTGTATTCTTTGTTAATATTGCTGCCAGTGTGACTTTGTCTATACCTACCATCCTTCATACGCCCAGAATGCGTTGTAGAATGCCAGTGCAACAGAAGAGACAGAATTTGTGGTGCCGGAGAAACCCTCCTGCATAGCCCCGGTCATACCTATGTGAATTGAGTATTGGTTTCCACAATGTTAATAAATAACATGTTAATGTTGTAAAAGCTCATATTGATGTATAATTGTACATAGATTTTACGATTAGTAAGTACACCAATATCTACATACAGAAATATTTCCGTATCGTATCGTAACAACTACGGTGATGTTTTGTCTCGATTTATTTTGTAATATTTACCTTTGAATGACATTGCTACAGTATTTATTTGTTTTTATATTTACGTGGTTCAATGTCCTGTGCACAATGGGTAATTGACAGCAAAAGCTGACAGGAAAGAAAGTAGAGATCCGGGTGCTGCAATCCGGCATCATTTTGTTCATCACTGCAGTATCTTTTGGTTTATGAACTACCAACAACGTAGGAAATAGAGAGTAACCAAACCTAATTATGGTCATATTCCTTTAAATGAGTTTAAATGATAAAAAAAATTAGTACTACAAATTGTAGAGTGTCCTAGGTATTATGAAAGTCAACCTTTCAAATTGAAAACAGCGCTTCATTGAATTTTATCTGATCCAGTTGGCAGTCATACTATCCATGAATGACAACTGAAATCAGGTCGATGCTGAATGTAAAAGATGACATACTCCTCACGGATGTGAGACGGTGAAACACAAAAATTACATTAACTTTATTGGTCGCTGTATAAAAAATACTATAAAAATTGATTGCGAATACCTCTGAATAATGAGTAACGTTATCAGAACTGATATAACAAGCTGGCACATAGACGCTTGAATAGTATATTTTGTAATACAACGTAATAGATTGTTGTTATTGTCATTCGAAGTATAACTATGAAGGTGCACGGGTTGATCTATTGAGCGAGAGCGATATGGTATTAAATATAAGTTTTTGAAACAGATGACGTAAACTGTGTGGATAGTTGATTTTATTATACAAATAGAACAAATATTGTTTAAATGAATTGAATAACAGGTATGATAAAAAATGATATTAGAACAAAAGATTAACTTGTAATCTATTATGTCATTGGTACTTACCTCGGCCGTGCCATACAAAGCCTCCAATAATTATGACACTGAGAGCGATGAGCTTGACTGCTGAGAGGAACACTTGAAGATATACTGCTTGTTTGGTGTCCCAACAATTTACGATGGCCAGGAATACTAAATACAAAATACGTATGTATAGCATAGCTTAGGGCTTGACGTGCATCAAAAAAGGAATATTTGCTTATATCAGCAAGGAATTATTCGATAATAATAAACGAAGATCAGTCAAAAGAATATGTATCTATTAAACTTATGATTGACGTATAATGTTTTGCAAGAAATACATTTTCAATTTTTATACACCAAAATTATCAGAAAAGTCGAGACATGTATTTCAACTGTAAGTGCATTTAAAAGATCTTCTCTGTTTATAACAATACATTATAACAATTAAATTTCAAAAGAACAGCATTGATCATTTAGCTGTACAATTTATATTTTCAAAAACATTTTGAATGTATGTGCTATATGTTAGGCTTGGTCTACATGATAAAAGGTAAATCCTTTCTTATCTGTATCAATCTTGTGTGCTGTTCCTGATTTATTTGACAGCATTACCATGCTTACTATGCCTTTTCAATGAAACTTTTATTTTCCGTAAGCAACTTACTCATTGTTATGACAGCTATGAGTTTAACAAGTGTTTTAGACGTTCCACAATGATCAAATAACACAACCATATATTCAGCAAAGGTGAGGATACAAATTGAGACAGCTGATGGAGTCAGCACGAAAGTCTGTGTCCACGCAAATAGAAAAGCGACGAATTTCCCTAATCCCGCCATCAGGTATTGGTACTCACTTCCTGACTTCGGTATAAGACACCCTAGTTCGCAATAACATAGTGAACCTGTTGGAACATAATTATTTTCTTAATCAAGAGGAGAAAGTATTAAAGTATATTTGATCTTTTTCCGTTTATTGTTAAAACTCAAGTTAGCCTCTTCTCCTTTGCTATTAGCTATAAACTTCTGACAAATATAAAATTCCTTAATTGAGTTAATGAGGGCATTTTATGTTGACATCTTGTCTCATATGTATAAAATTTGATAATGATTAAAATTTCATTATCAAGTCTATTACTATCATTACTAAGAATCCCAAAAATACTTCATTTGTTGAACGAAAATGGAATAGAAAGGACTTCCAGCAAAATTTGCACTTCAGGACATTCTCACATAATATGAATGATTGTTTCCATTTCTAAATTACAAAATGAACATTGGGGTTTTTCAATAATCCTGATTTGAACTTAAATGAATTTTTTGTTAAAATGTGATGGTTTATTCTGTAATGAAACCAAACAAAAAATCAATAAATAATTTAATTAATGACAAACAAAAATCGAGTATGCGTACAAAAATAACTACTTCCTTATTTCAACTTTTTTTATGATCATAAATGATATTTCAAACTATGCCTTGCTGCATCTCACATCAAGATGTATGTTTTTATCAGTGATCTAGGATAGTTTTAACGTCTTACCTAGAAGGGAAAGGATTCCCGCAAATGTCCACACAAGGAGGCAGAGTCCTACCGATCCCGTTTCAACTAACACATCTTTTGGGGTGATGAATATTCCTGAACCTAGATGTAATAAATAAATATGCACGATATGGAATTTGTCATTATAAGTGACGAAGGGTAGATCTGAAATTTACATTATATATTACGAAATAAATAGGTATTTTCAAATTTAAAGAAAATTATTTCAAACCAACCCACCAACACAGAACAACAATCTGATCACAAACATGAGGCAAATGAACACCAGCTACACCAAAAGATGTAAGAATCGAAATATATCTTAATGAAAAATATATCAAAAGAAACATGCATTGTGTCCTCTTCAGAAATTGAATTACGTACATGCCTACCAGATCAAAACACAGTCTATGTAATGAAAATACATAAAACTCACAGAGAAGGTTTAAGTGTGTCTTTCGAGTATCGCATAAATTTTTCCAATATTTACGATAGGTCGGTCGTTAAAGAACAGAAGATTGGTGTAGTGTCTGCAGGGTTGGATGGATTAGATGATATACCGGATTTAACCGAACACATGCCTGCAAGACCATTAAAGGTTTCGGCCCACATGGCACTAGCGTTTTATTTCAAACATTACTGCGCATGTCAAGTACAACTTCAATGATTTACGCACTTCAATACATTGTTTCACTTGTTTATCATTATAGATATTACTACATCTATACAACTGGAGAATCGCTGTCGATGTTGAATGTTTACCTATTTAATTTTTTTCTTCTTTTTCTATTATTTTCGCTATTCAAACGAGTGAATCAGAACAATTCACCTGCAATATTAACATGTCTATGTTGAAGTTTAGGTAGGCCTATATTTGATATATCGTTAATTATATAATTTAAAAATGCAGACTGTAAAAACGAACGGGTTGTCAATCGTTTGAGTCACACATATTTTGTTCACTACATGCAAGATAAGATACAATATAAAAACATAAACAGCGGTGCGGAACAAACTCTTACGAAAGGTCACTTTTGAATTTTATCATCACGACATCATCACATTACCTAACACAAAGCGCGGCACGAAAAAGATACGAAAGTAGACCGAACAAACAAAATAAGAAAAAAACAAAGAGTTGTTGTCGTGTTTTTATTTCAAACCATACTAACTAATCTATGGGTATCAAAGATCTTCTAGACAAAGCCGTGTTTTGTTTGTTTGTTTTATTTCTTTTTTTACAGAGTTAATTGCTGTCGGTTTTCTATTGCAGTAGTAAGTATGATATTAATCTCTTCTCGTTTTAGCTTAGTAATGTCATTAAGACTTTAAGTAAAATGATATAGGAAAGGAAATCAAATTCACTCGAAGCGTTTCTCTCAATTGTTTTGAACATGAGCATAATATACACGGAACGTATTTTTTTTCGATATTTGAGATGGCGTTTTTAAGTTTGTGAGTTTCAGGTTGCATAGCTATTCAGAAACCTTTTTATCACATAGCCATCCTAGTTTGGTCATCAAAATTAATGCTTGATATAGTTCCGTCAGACAGGACCGTACTATAACAATATTGTAATAAAAGGCATTGTAGGATTTCCCTGCCACGACAATGGAAAATGTTCAATTGGGAAATGGATGGAGATTTTATCTAAACATGTAGTATACAACCTAGATATGTTATCAAATATACTTCCGTTTCTTTGCCAATACATTTATGCTGTTTAAAATTTGTTTTATTGCCATCAATGTTAAAATGCCTATTCCAGCGCCTTCAGGATAGGATATATTAAAAGAGGAAATAGTAAATATTAAATTGGTGAATGAGTAATTGATTTAAATACGTATACAATCAAAAGCTATACCTTTATTGCCTTATCAATTCATTACTATCTGGTAAATGTGAAATACGATTCATCGACTGGAGTTAGTCTTACCGATAATTGAGCCAATGACAAATGAAATGCCACCGATAAGGCCGATATTTTTCTTCATCTTGACCTTCTCTCTTCTTATCTCCGAGGAAGTCTTTTTTTCGCCAAGGTGTCTCCGTCTTCGACCTACCTCCTCATTGTCGTCTGTGAAAAAAAAAACACAAAAAAAACAAAAAAAAAAAAAAAAAAAACAATAAAAAAAAAAAAAAAACACAAAAAAAAAAAAAAAAAAAAAAAACAAAAAAAAAAAAAAAAAAAACAAAAAAAAAAAAAAAAAAAAAAAAAAATAAAAAAAAAAAAAAAAAAAAAAAAAACAACAAAAAAAAAACAAAAAAAAAACAATAAAAAAAACACAAAAACATAAAACAAACAAAAAAACAAATCAAAAACAAAAAAAAAACACCAAAAAAACAAAAAACAAACAAAAAAAACCAAAACTAAAAACAAACAAACAAAAAAAAACAAAAAAAAAAAAAACAAAAAAAAAAACAAAAAAAAAAAAAAAAAAAAAAAAAAAAAAAAAAAAAAAAAAAAAAAAAAAAAAAAAAAAAAAACAAAAAAAAAAAAAAAAAAAAAAAAAAAAAAAAAAAAAAAAAAAAAAAAAAAAAAACAAAACAAAACAAAAAACCGATGGAAAACTGCCTCTGAGTAGTTTGTTAAAGGTTCGGCCGGGCGATCTATACTGCCTTTGAGTGGATTGGTAAAGGCGTGGTCTAACGATGAACGCTGCCTTTGAGTGGTGTGGTAAAGGTTTGGTCGAGCGGTGAACGCTGTCTTAGAGTGGTTGGTAAAGGTTTGACTGAGCGATAAACACTTCCTTTGAGTGGATTGGTAAAGGTTTGACCGACCGATAAACACTTCCTTTGAATGGATTGGTAAAGGTTTGACTGAGCGATAAACGCTTCCTTTGACTGGATTGGTAAAGGTTTGACCGAGCGATAAACACTTCCTTGAGTGGATTGGTAAAGGCTTGACCGAGCGATAAACACTTCCTTTGAGTGATTTAGTAAAGGTTTAACCTACCAATGGAAAACTGCCACTGAGTGGTTTTTCAAAAGTATTGATTTGTCAAAGATGGCCGTCAAGCGGATAGCTTTTTAAGTAAAGGGAGATCATTCCTGATAGCACAACGCTGATTTCGATAACGACTGGTCTTTGATGTGGTTAAATCTATTAAATATACGTTGAAAACATTTCGACTCTTTATTTGAAGTAAAAAATATGTTATCCTTCACGTCAAGCTAGTGTTATTGACAGTAATTCACAAATTTGTGGGTGTCTATTAAAACCTACTCGTATCTAACTATCGTCTCGTAATCAGAACATGTATTTTTTCACTAGTGTTGATTTTTTGTCACGTTTTTTTAAAAGTTAAAAACAATTTAAATTAAAAAAAAATGCACAGTTTGCAAAAACAACGTTGTTGTAATATCAAAGCGAACCTCGCGTAGACGTTTGAGAAATAACGTTCGTACAGCTATGCTGATGATTATGTTGCGTACATTGTCACCGAAATGGGACTTTTTCCAGACTGTACTGCACCGTCTGGATCCTATTATGAAAGTCAGATGCGTTCTGTCGTTGTTAACAAGGTTCTTCCTTACATTGTTAAATATTCACACAGCGAGTGTTATAGATTAGCAAAGGTTTAAACTTTGATGAAATGATGCACATGTACAAGAGCGCACCAAGTATAATAAAAGTTCAAAGTTTTTTAAAACTATTTTTTTTTTTTTTTTTTTTTTTTTGAATTTTTAATTTTAAAGTTTATTTTATTACATTAATGTTTTTGTAACACCAACACTTAAATATTAGGAATTGTTGACATTTTTAATAAATCAATTCTTCTGTTACTTCTCATGTGTCAACCCATATGCCATTAACTCAATTCATTGCATGGTTTAGTATACATACCCTAAACAGTGTTTTTATCAATGTTTACTTAATTTAGAAAATCTGAAACTTGAGAATGACTGATCATGTAGGTAAGAAATAGCCATAAAACAATTACTCGCTGTTCAAATCGAAGATGGAGAGCTGTAGGCCATTTTGGTTTTCAGATCATTTTAAATATGGGACAATGCTTAACTAGGTACCAAGAGGAAGCTGCATATGAAATTTGACAAAGATCCATCCAGTACTTTTCCAGAAATAGCGGTAACAAGAATTGTTTACAAACGGACGGACCACGAACGCAGGGCGATTTGAATAGTTGAACAACAAAAAAAAAAAAATAAACTAGAAATTGTTGTTAACAATTTGGCGGGCTTTTCACTTCTTTGGCAACAAGATGACCGGAAGTAGACATTTATCCTGATAACGATATATGAGAAAGGTTCCTTGTTTGTAAGTCTCTACAACATATCCAAAGATGAACTTTGAATCTTGAAACTTAAAGGAGATATAACTACATAATAACGAAGAAATTCACTTTTTAAAGGTTCAAACATATTTGACCCCTGTGACCTTAAATGTCGGTCAAGGTTATTCATATTTGCAAGCCTTATAATGTAACATCTGGTGATCAATATATCCCCAATATTAGTTCTCTAGACCTTGTGAAACTTGACAAGATTGTTGAACACTGGTACCCTATTTTGTATATTTGAACTTTGACCCCTTTCAGAAACCGGAAGTTGACATTTTGAGGGAAGTTTTCCTTATGACAATCACTAGGAAGTCTGCACAGAAGGTTTATAATCAATTTTCATCATTGTATGCCTTCTAGAAATTGAGAAACTTTCATTTAAAGATTTTTAGTTAATTGACATCTGTGACCTTGAAAGTGGGTCAAGGTCAGTTATATTATCAAACTTTGTTGCCAGTTACAAATCCTTCTTGTGTATGAAATATCAAGCCTCTAGGCCTTCCAGAACTTGAGAGGAAGTTTTTCAAAGATTGGTACAATTAATAGCATTTTTCAACTTTGACCCCCTACCGCAAACCGGAAGTTGAATTTGAGGTATGTTTCTCTTATATCACTCGACAGGAAATGTCCACAGAATATCTATGTCCAAAGTTGAAGGCTTTGGGCATCTTAACAAGGAGAAATTACCATTTAACGTTTTTGGCATAATTGACCCCTGTGACCATGAAAGTCGTTCAAGGTCATTTATATTAACAAACCTGATAGATAATTGATCAGACATCTTACACATGAAATATCAAGACTCCAGGCTTAGCAGAACTTGAGAAGAAGTTTGTCAAAGTTTGTAACTTAAAATAACACTTTTGAACTTTGACCCCTACCGAAGACCGGAAGTTGACCTTTGATCATAGATTTTTTCTTGTGAAAAGTGTTTTCTTATTATTTTACATAACATGATTTAAACTGAGGTCACTAGCTGAAACAGATCTTGAGTTACGGCATTTTAGGTAAAATCAAATATGACGTTATGGCGGCCATTTTGTTTTTCCGATGAATTTGAATATGTCACTAAATGGTAGAAGACATCTGGGGAAATCTTCTCAGTAACAATTTGATAAAATATAGCCCATCAATATTGATCTAGAACGAGTTTTTCCTATTTGTCGGCATTTTTAAAAGATCAAAGGAAATTTTCAAAATGGCGTACAGCGGAAATGGCTAAGGTTTCAGAAGAACTGAAAACACTAAATTCATCGGAAGGACATTCTGCATCGATGTGTTTTAAAGTTTTTAACTTATGACGACATAGCGGCCATATTGGATTTTTGACCTACTTAAAAAATCTGCATCGTCACCTTCCATTATGTACCTATAACATAGTCAATACATATTAGGTGTGGTCTTTACCGAACCCACAAAGTTCGGAAGAAAAATAATAATAATAATAAGAAGAAGAAACATAACAAAAACAATAGGTCTTTTCAATTACTACAAATTAGACATTCTAAAACAAATTAAAATCTTACTTGTCTGATAGTCGGTTACAGATTCCATGTCGTATATAACAATAATCCAGGTCGTGATTATGATTTCTCAACTCAAACAAAACATGTAACCAGTGACTGCTCCAGTATAAGTTTCTGTTTAACTGTGTAGATTCTTTATTATACAAACTTGTCCTTTTGAGATGTAAATGTAATGTAAAGACTCAGCCGAAACACGTTGTTTTATTTACAATGTCCCCCTTTCTTTCAATATTGTCTGAGCATTTTTCGGTTCATATTTCACGCTTTGTTCTCAATTTTTAAATTTTACATACCTGTATTCTATAGCAAGGTTGACGTATTTAAAATGCACTGAAACACGTGGTTTTATTCACAATGTTCCCCTTTCTTCCAATAATGTCTGTGCATTTTTCGGTTCATATTCCACCTCTTTGTTCTCAATTTTTAAGTTTTATATACCTGTACTTTATAGCAAGGTTGGCGTATTTAAAATGCACTGGTTGATGTCCCTCTATTCGAGAAAAGACATACATAAAGTTGATTAAGCACTTTTTAGAGAGAGAGGGGTGGTGTGGAGGGAGAGAGTGAGAGAGAGAGAGAGAGAGAGAGAGAGAGAGAGAGAGAGAGAGAGAGAGAGAGAGAGAGAGAGAGAGAGAGAGGGGGGGGGGGTACTACAAGGACCATCTGTTTCCAAAAAAAAAAACATTAATTCTTTTGATGCTGTTTAGGAAAACATTGACAACTCCATGTCTTGCCGTTTTATCACAATGCCCATATAATATTTAAGGGGACATAACTCGGCTAAAAACTTCAACAAAATGCTGTAATGCAAACTCGTGTAAAGTTATTTTGGTATGGAATATTTGTGCAGGGTATACTACAGTACCTCCTTTCAAGTCAGAAAAAATATTCCTAAACATTTCTTTGTCAACACGGAATGCTATATTTTCAAAACATTGTAAAATATTTGACTGACAAATTTTCAACGTTTGTGACTGTTAAGTCTTTTCATTATCCCACAACCAAATTGTTACATTTTGATAAAAAAAAAAACCCATTTCACTTCAAAATGTTTAAAATCTAGAATAAACTGCAAAAATATCTTTTCTATTTGAATAAATAAACAGCAACACACTATGAAATTGATTTTCCAAATGAAACAATATAGAAATCGATTTATAACAATATTTTTGGTCTTGAAAGGACAAGGTCACACGGACCCGATATGTCAACTTAATTTTTCTTCGGGAAATACGTTTTTTTTAACTTTT